ATCTCTCAAGAAATATCTAACACCATCTCATGCTACACCTATTAAGTGTGCCAATATTCTGTCAAAGTCCATTAAAGGTCTGTTTGAGAGACTGGCAGCTGGCTCGCAGTGTTATACTGCTGTACTGTCAGCATCGTGTTATGTCTCCGTGATCCCTCTCTGCCATTTGCTTTAGGCTCACACTAAGTACACAGGCTCCTGTGAGTGCTCCCCCGTGGCAGTCAGCCACCTGCTCCAGTGTTTAACAGATGTGACGGCACACCGGGACCGATCTTCGCCGTTATTAAAAGCACAGTGCCGGGCTCCACCGGCCATGCTCAAGCGCTGGCGGTCCCTGCTTTGTCTCTGCACGCTGTCCGTGTCAGGCTTCGTTACGGGGTGCCCAGAAGCAGGCAGAGCTGCGTCTTTGAAGACAGAGGGGGTCTCTGACAGCGGGACAAGGGGGACGGAGGACTGACTGGATGAAGAAAGTGTTTTGTACAAATATTTCCATCTCATTTTTTTGCCTGCTTGGTGGAGAAGATGTCGCACCGAGACCATCTGGCGCTATGACAACTTGGCTTCTTGAGCCGAGCGTGACATCTTTGCAGCGTTCAATCAGAAATGTGGCTAATTAGGCAGCGGTGCGTGGAAAGCTCCGGATAGGAAATGTTCCAGCGGACTCATTTGCAAACTTCTTTTGCTCAGCAGATCAGTCGCTTTTGGTTTAACATGCATGGAACAGAGGAAAATAAAAAAATACAGAAAGCGAGAGCTAAGAAAGCAAAAGATTTAGCAGGCAAACAACAGTCCAGATCAGTTCAGCACGGATCTGAGCCGCAGTGGGCAGTTTGTGCCGAGGCTCTAATTAAGCTCCGGGTCTCATAAGAGCTGCTGCACGGCGCCACAGCCATTACGGAGCGCTTCTGAGAGATTAAGTGCCGTAGGACTGTCAAACAGAGTTTCCAAGGCCTCTACCTTCTAGTCTCTGACAAAAGCAGCTGAGCTTACATCTCCACACGGCGCTTACCTTGAAGCTTTGAAGAAAGGGGCCGAGGGTTCAGCGCTGTCAGAGGGGTCAAGTTGAAAAGGGAGCGCTGAGCCCACTGCAGCTCAGGCCTTTAATGATCGTGACGAAAAGGGAAAACACTTCTACAGACTGCAGCGTTGGCTGCGATTAATAGACCCTAACCGTGTTTGATCTCCAGAATGGCTCTATTGACAGTCAGCACTGTAAACAACAAAAAATCTGCAATTCCTTGGAGACAGTAATGCATGCAGATCCTCTTAATGAATTCTTCCCAAACAGATTGCACAAGTTACCAAGTCAACTGAGTGTTTCGAATCTTGCCAGGACTGCTTAAAAATGCCTCGAGGTAGAAAACAAACAAACAAACAAGCAGAAAAAAAAAAGATGTGCAACTCTGCTGACTTTTATAGAACAGTGCAAAACCAGATTTCTCATACTCCCAACATGGGATTTAGAGCTAAGGTGTTTAATGAACTGGAAAGATTTCAAGTGTTCATGGATTATTAAGTCCTTGGAGAGATGACGAGCAGAGTGGAGCGGGCGCCGTGCCAGGGCCGCTGATCAAGAGGATCTGCCTGTGTGTTATCAGTGAGGAGAGGGGGGGAAAAAACGACTTCCCAGAATCGCCCCCAGAGGTACAAGCTGAGAATTTGCTCACATATAATATTTCACTCATCGCCTTCTACTGCACTATGAAAGAGCATGCGGCGCAAACATGCACTACATATTCATTTTACCGAATGGTTTATGCATGAGCGCCAGAGCTATGTGCCCGCCTTCAGTGAGACTAAGCTCTAATGAGCTCGCAGCCACCATCAGACTGCAGAGGCAAAACATTCAGAGACCAGGCTTCAGTGCAATTTGCACACTTTACATCAAATATTGCAATAAATAAGTAAATAAATTGAAAAAAAAAAGAAAAATTAAACAAGTTGCACAGCAGATAATTATTTCAATCAAAAACAAAGTCCACTTGTGGTCCGATCCCGGTGGAGATGTTTACCAGAGGTATCATTACTCTGAGCAGAGGAGCTGAATCACTGAATCAATACCGAAGCAGTCTGAATCACTCATTTTGACAGTTAGCGTTTCTCAGACCGCCTTTCGGAGCTCATCGTCTGTGACAGACGTAATTCTTCGCCGCCCGACAGATTTTACCCTCTCTCTTCATTTCTGCAGTAAAGGCGTTTCAAGAAGCTGTAAACTTGTTTTTATTAGCTGTAGATTGATTTACTCAGTGGAAGCAAAACAAGTCATACGAGCCTTCAGGAAAAAAGCTGCAGGTTGAAAGAGACAAACACAACACCATTTTAGGGCCTGAAACACTCGCTTTTAGTCAACAGACTGAAAACACTGATACAGCGACGCTCTCTCCTTCCAAACGTGATATCTGATGTTGTAAACCTGACATTTTAAATCTAAGATGACACTAGATAATCTGATCTCACAGCGAAAGACAAAAATGGTTATTTACAGGGACGCTGCAAGCATGAAATACCATTCCATTACCAGTCTATACATCACGCTGGGTAGGTCTCATGAGACACTGTCACGCTAATTGGACTGACACTAAAAACTAAAAGACACTGTTAACCACGTGACGTAACAAGTGACAAGTAACCTTAAATTTACAATATGTTTTGAAGAAAACAAAAAAGGACAAAACAAACCCCCCAAAAAATCATGCATTCTGACAGTTTAGGATTAGCGTGATGATCAATCATGCAGCAGATCATCACACTGATGCATATTTAATGATTTAACCCCTGCAATAGCCTGCAGTCAGGTAGCATGTGTCTCAGCTTGGCTATCATTAACTAATGCTAGAAGGAAAGTTAAAGAAAGTGGATCCCCCCCACGCCAGTAGGACACATGTAATGATTAAATGTGTCAGATCGGGGGGTTGGACTAAGTCTGTCTGTACTGTAACACATAAAAGACTGATAACAGATCAGCTCACTAGAGGCCGGATCCTTTGCTCCACTATTTCAATTTAAAGCAAAAGCACAGCAAACAAATACTTGACCCGATCACAATCGACTTTGCTTTAGTTTCAGGACAGACAAGCAATTCTTCTTAAAAGTTCCTTAAGTACTAATGATAGAGGTTAAAGCATTTACAGTCAGTGATTGTTTAAGCAATGCTGGCACTGTGAGACTTGGCTCTTTTTGTCTGTTGTAGGTGAAAATAAAAGGAATATTTTTGACATCGGAGCCACTGGTGAGGCAACACGAAACACAAAAACATGTGATGATCTGTGCTGCTGAAGCCGGCACGCCGACTTTCTCCATGAGATGACATGAGAGCCGTGAGTCGGAAAGGTGGGTGAACGCTCTCCCGATCCGGAGCAACTTCCAAGCAAGATGACACAAGGATGGAAGTTAAAGCAGACGAAAAAGAAGTGACGCACATTTCCATAAACTGTGTTTTTTGTTGGTGGGCTTTCTGACCTCAGTATTAGCACTCATAATCCATTTATTATACCCCTGAATACAACCCCCCCTCCTCCTTTTTCCTTTCAGAGAATCAAAACCTTTTAGTCTTTTTTCCCCCCAGAACAGACCTGATCAAAGCCAAACTATTTGCAGGCACAATGTAAGACTCCCTCCTGTTATCTACCCTGGGAGCTTCTTTTTTTAAAGGAAAAAAGAATAAAAAAAAGGCGAGGATAATAAGTGAGATCCACAGAGAGCTTGATCATTACATTCATTTAAACCAGCCGCTAGCCACCCGGCACCCTGTGCAGTAAATGGAGATGTAATTTGGTGTGATAGGAGGATAACACTTGGCTGGGCTCCATTATAGATGAAAAGACAGTGAGGGAGGGAGGAAGAGAAAAAAAACACAACAAAAAAGCAGATTTGAGTGTGTTACAGACAGCAGCGCTCACAAAGATGTTCAACACAGTCTGTCAGAGTCGCGCACCGTCTGTTGTCAGATGGGTCAGTGTTTTCACTCATTAGAGCAGACTGACACTTGAATCCAAACGCTCTCACATGAATACACCAGCGCTCTGGATGTGTCGTCTCAATTGAATTCGACGCCGCAGGAAAGCTCGCGGGGATCAGAGAACGGCAACATGTTGTAGGGTTTTGTCCCAAAGCGTCAACAGCTTCTCTGCTCAAAGAACAAGCAAACACACTCACGCGATACATCCGGCTGAATTTCACAATGGGACTGGTTTTTGTGTTTGTTTGTTTTTAATGCCGCAGAAGAGCAGAATTGCTTAGATCCCTTTCAACAACAACGACAAAAAAAGTTATGTTTCGCATACTTTTTTCCACATGGACCCAAAAAACCAACAAAAGTTTAACACTACAAAAGCACTGAGCCAACTTTATGTTCTTCATCGATTCTTCCGTTCCCTTTTCTCAGCCCAACAGCGAAAAAATTGATCATTTACAACATTACGAGATGGAATAAAAGTAGCATATGCTCATTTTTTTGGAAGTGATACTTAAGTGGGAAAATCCTGAGTATGTTAAGGAGGAACTTGGAGCCATAAAAAGTGCTAAAAAACCGACAAGTTCAGGACTCTTGGGAGAAAATGCTCTCCCTGCTTGTTAATGATGCATCTGCCTGGTCCACTTTCTTTGGTGGGGAGAAAAAATGCACAACAAGCACCCGAGTGTTAAACATAAACTTTAGTCAAAGTCAAACTGGGGTTAAAGCTCGAAAAGCTCCGAGTCAGCATTCAACTGACAATGAGGAGGTGGGTTAGCGATCGACACACACTAGCAGACACACTGAGGGAGCCGTCGCCTCTTCGTCACCCCCCTCCTCCTTTAAACCACAGCGCGCCACCTCTCACTGACCCCTGTGACCGGCGTTCAGGCTGCTCAGCTGCGAGAGCTCCGGCCGGCAACAGCTCAGCTCCACTCCACTCTCTTCCAACTCCCACTCAGCCAGTGACCTTCCCCCAGAGACGCAAACTAACTGAGCTGCACTTCAACAAAGTCTGAGAGCTACCAAACCAGACTGTGGCTCTTACAGAAACTGCAAAAAAACAACAAAACAACCTATAAAAAGAAAGAAAAAAAGAAGAAGCAGCTCCTCCTGAGGCTTGCAGAAGCTTGGTCACAGTACCTGGCACACTTCGTAGAGTAGTTTATATTGCTCCTCGGGCTTCTGCAGGGTACAAAGGCTGCATCCCATGGTGGAGGAGATCACACCATCCACGCTCTCCCTCGAGCCAAGAAGAAGAGAAGCAGCAGTTATCTTGTTTCTTCTTCTCCTCCTCTCTGAACTCACTCCCACTCCAGTGCGATGTGTCTTTCTTCCACAGCCGCACGACAACTTGGGCTGACAGGATTGACTTCCCCCTAGCTTGTGGCTCTATCTCGCCACTCAGCCTCGTCCTTCACGCACACACGCGCGCACACACACACTCATGCACACACACATACACACTGACCGCCCCCCTTCCTTCTTGCTTCACATGTCTCCCTCCCACTCCGTCGCTCTCCAGCTTCCTGCTCAGCTTTTGGAGGCCAGCAACTGAGATCGGCTTTATACGACCCTCATGTTTATTAAGCAGCTGCTCATTGAATATTCATGAAGGGTGGGGCTAGTTCATGAATGTAAGGAGGGGGGGGGTGGTGGTCATCAGGCTAGATAAAGTCTTCTTAATTAATAAGCATAGTTGGATCCTTTGTGTAGAAACAAGCCGAGTGATGAAAAGCATTTTAATATCCCGGCAGGACAAATATACTAAAGAGACTCCAGGAGCTTCTTTTTAGCCAGATGTAGACTTTTAATTTGAAATTCAAAGCGCTTCGAGAAAGCCGTCATCTCTGACAGCAGGACGTACACATCCAGCGCTGCGCTTTGCAGCTTTTACCCTTTCTGTGCCCCTTGTTAAATTAGCACTTGGTGACCTCTGGTATACTAATCCAGCATTCTTTCCTCGTGTTTTTCTTTCCATATACACAAGGCCCACAGCCAGTGAAAACAAATAAACCAGATAAATATTTATGCTGGCCCTCTGTGGCGCGGTTGGACAAACTTTACCCAGCGGAGCATCTGAAGCGTAGCGGCACACAGTTAGTTCTCGGGGTCCTTCACGGTGTCCGCTACCCTGCCAGCGCAGTAACGGCTCCATAAGCCAGACCTGGCATCTGTCCTGCTGTTTGCTCGTGTGCCACGCAGCCAAGCACAGATAAACGCTCACAGGGGGGCAGCAAGAGGGGCAACCAAAGCGTTCGAGTGTTATTTGCAGGCATCGCAGTGGAGAAAAACATTATGTGTGTGATAAAAACGATCCTTGCAGGACTTCACTGTATGATATCGTCACCTCTTCACGATCTGATCGCATAGTTGATGGGAATTTTCAAGGACTGAAGCGCTAAGCCGCAAGCCTGGATAGATTTCACGGCAGGAATTAGGGTTTCTCCTGTAAGACCTACCACTAACTGCCGGCGGTTGAAGGCATTTCCTCCAGCCAGATGTGTCCTGTGATCTCTATCAGCTTCACCACTGCTCCAAAACCGCTGCAATACAAGTGAGCAGACGCTGGGGTTGTTTAAAAAAAATGAAAGAAACAGAAAGTAGCTACTTTTTTTATTTACCTCCTGGAGAAAGTAATTTGTTACAGTACTTGTTGCATTACTTTTGCATATTTTACTTAGCAGCCTGTTTAGCACAAAGCAGATGAAAACCAGCCGATAGAGGCCGTCACACAAAATGCACTGTACGACTCTGCTTCTGTTACCTGTAGAAAAAGCACGTTTTTGCTGCTTAGTTGGGGTTGGCATACACTGCATTTGAGATTCAATCTCTTTCCCTGCTGGCTTTGTGTTTGTAACATACAGTCATTTGGATAGGGAAGAGGTCAACGTGGAAATACTGTTCCTGGACTGGGCAAAAATTTGCTCTTTATCAAATACTTTTTCCATTTGTGCAATAATTCAGAAGCAGCAGTGTGGATATGGCCACACCTTCAAAATTTAGATTCTGCTCAACTTTTGTCTCGTCTCCCACATGTCACGCGACTTATTTTGCAAAAGTGTGCATACAAAGTAACATTGGATGATTTTTTTCTAATCCAGGCGTCCTGCAGATATAACAACATACGCCTTGTCAGGCGTAACAATATATCAGACTTGTTTGTCCAGCGCGTCCCACAGATATTCGACAGGATTGAGATCTGAAGAGTTCGGAGGCTTTGTGAGCACCTCGCATTCGTTGCTGTGCTCCTCGCACCGTTCCAGAACCAGGTTGTGTTATCCTGCTGAAAGAGGCCACAGCCATCAGGGAGTACCATTTCCATAAAAGGGTGGGCATGATCTGTAACAATGCCTAAGTAGGTGGTAAGTGTCAAAGTAACATCTACACGAAAGGCAGGACGCAAGGTTTCCCTGCAGACGCAACACTGAACTTACACCCAGCTGAATGCTGCATTTTTTACAATACAAAAACGTTTCAAAAATACACATAACAACAAGAGCATGCAGCAGTTTTCAAGGTTTTCATCTTTGACAGTTTGTTGCTACAAGCAGACTCACTGTATTGTGTTAAATGGTGCGACTGGTCTCGGCAAAACAGTCTCCAGCCAACCTCACATTTTCGTTTTTACAGAATTCCCCATTTTTATTCTCATTTACATACGACCACTTGGAGGGGAATCTGACTAATAAGATTTGACTTATCCGTTTAATCTCCGTGTTTGTATTCCTTTCCAGCGTCTTCCAAACAAAGCCTTGCGTTAGATAAATTCCACTTTCCCACAATCTTAGCTGCGCAGAACTCTGGACAACGTTAAAAGGAGTTCCTTAAGGCAAGAGACAAAAACTTGCCTCGGGCCAACCAAGAAGGTATCTGTGTAAATTTGACAATTGTTCATCATCACTGCGGGCTTTTGCTTGTCTGGGTGCTATAGGCTCAAAGCGTTGATCCAGAGAAGCATGAAAACTCATTCTACGCTCGCATTAGCTGTACTGTTGTGCCTGGGGCTGGGATCAGTGGAGGGTTCGAGCCGGCGCTGTTGCCTGGATAATCTTTCTTTCACACTGAGATTATCCCATTCGCCGAGTCGAAACGAAGACAGCGCTCCGACACGAACAACTGCGCTAAAGGTTGCGGCAGCTGGAGCAGAGAAATAAAAAATGTGCATATTAATAAACAATCAGCAGAGGTGAAATATAGAGTTGGGAAGTCAACTGAGAACCTGTTCAACCACAGCTGGCAGGAAAAGCGCCTGCACATCGTCTTTGTGTCTGAGATTTAATTTTGTCATCGCTGATTGAATTTCTCGCCCTCTCTGGCAACAAAACCGTCCTCCGTCCGTGTGCGGTGGTCTGATCAGTGGGCTCGGCAGACAGACGCACACGCGCACGCGCACACTCTTCAGCTTTTATTCATTACTGGCCTAGACATGACACGGTATCAGAGGTTCTATCTCAGCGGGATCGAGACCAAAGAATAATAATGTCATACGGTTTGTTATAATAAACATCAACATTTTTTCGTGGCGACCAGAGGGCTCGAGGTTACCACATCCCCTTCCAATTACCAGCGTGCTGCTTTCATAGTGTGCGGATGCTGCTGTGCGCTTGATCAATGCTCAGTCGAGTCATTCATATTCATAGGGGCTGCCTGGCAGTGTGTCCGCGTCCCACTGGGCCCAGTTTAAAAGTCATGACTTTAGCCGGAGCCACCGAGGGATCAGGTGGCGATCGCTGCAGCGTGCACCATCTATGTGCTTTATACCGTTCTAATGCATCGTCTCCTCCTCCTCCTCCCCCGGGCCACTTTATTCAGCTCACATAACTTCAGAAACTGGCAATTTTTCTTGAAGTCACAAACTAAAGCTTACACAGCTACAACTGCAACTGCTAGCATTTTAATGTAGCATCACTAATAAACTCTATCCCAGCTACTGCCATTATAATTACAATCCGATGACAACGACACATGTGCGATTTGCACAGGCTGTCCTTTATCTTTGGTCTTGTGATGCACGACTCACAGCGTTAATGAATTCTACCTCATCGTGTTATAACTGAAACCACACTCCTCCTTAACTCGACCAAGTAGTGTCTGGTGAAAAACATAGTGCAAGTGAAGCTGAATATAAACCATGTTCAAGTCTTGTGATTTAAGCACCCACCGCACCACCTGCTCTTAAAAAACCCATCAATTACAACTTTATTGTTGTCTTTTAGATGAATGTGTGATCAGAATGTAATTTGCAGTCTAGGGGGGTCAGTAAATACTATATAAATCCAAGTACATTGCATTTAGATGCACTAAGCAGTATTCTTTAACCTCGTGCAATAATCCTTCAGATAATATCCATAGATTAGTTCAGTCATGGTTACTATAAAGTGAAATGAATGACTGCTGACATTATTTCCTTGTTTAACCACAAAATCTAAGTAAATGACAAAGCTAAGCATCTCAGAGCAACAGAAAGCCACAGTTTTATCTAATAAAGGAAAGAGTTACAGCCAGGCATCTAGTATTAGCAAAGAAGCAACATTTGCTGAAGGATACGGTTATTTTAAAATTGTGGTTACTTGCTGCCTTGTCGAGAGGAACCTTAAAAGTTCAATTCAACATTTATGAAGTTGATGCTGAAAACTACTCAGCTTATCATTAACTTTCTTCAAGCAAAACTAAAACTACTTTATGACCTTTATCTCATTTTTTAGACATTAGTACATCCACTTGCACTTTGTATGACCAGAAGCTAAGCAATGTATGGAGTATGTAGTGAGTCAGACCTACTGCTGTACAAAAATGCACACTGTAGTTTTAACCTTTAATCCCTTTACTGTCTGAATATTTACTATACATTGTAGTTGTCACACATGCACCTTGGTGCTGAACTTTTCACGACTTTAAACAAAGACATGCAGGTGACAACGTAAATGTCTGGTTTAAGTGGACATTAAACTGTTTCCTTAAGTGAGACAACGTCCAGACCTTTTCCTCCCAACGCTGTCTCAAGTTCATGCGTAAAAACTGCTTCTGACTGAGAAGCAACGGCGCACAGTGTTTCGGTTCATATGCAGGTCCACTGCTGATCTATTTAAAATGTATGTAACCTGACCACATGTTTCACCTCACCAAGCCAATTTATTAGCCATTTATCTTTCAGTCATCAGAGAAGAGAAAGGATTAAAGAAAAAAGAAAGAAAGTGGAGGTAAGAGGGTGTGGAGAGGAAATCTACAGAAGGCGACGACGTGGCAACATGCGAAGTAACTGGAAACTGATGGCTAGGAGTGATAACACAAAGGGAAAAGGCATAATGTCCAGGTCCTCTCACACCACACTAATGTGCTGTCCAGACATCAGGATGAGGGAAACAGAGAGAGAGAGAGGAGGGGTGGAAGATTGGGAATGATAGATTGATGGAAGGGGAAAACTAGACTGTCTAACGTGGCTTTCTGTTGTATAAAGTGTCACTGTTCTGTGCGGCGATGGAGTCTGTACTAACGTCACTTCACGTCATGTTGCTTGAGGTCA